ACACATAATAATTAAAGGTGTTGCAGTATAGGGGGTTATATGGCCAGAAATTGCGTGACAGCCATGACTGGGTTCTACTGTTTGTGCAGAGTCATACTGCCTGACACTGGGTCTTCTAACAGCAACCTTTTGATCCAGGAGAGCAATTCCTCCTCAAGGGACTCGATGTATGCCTCCGTGTTGAGTCTGAGTCACTCTAGGAAGATGAATGGAGGCATAGTATCGCTAACACTAGTGATCACTTCAAACACCTTCGTAATCGCCATTAGACTCATCCAACTCTTTTCGAATCCACTACATTGTCTTCAAATTGACACCCCCAAAATATTGAAATGTTCTCATTGAAGCTTCCGGCACGAGTGCCAAGCAGTACAGCACACTGTTTCCAAATATCTGACGGTGCCGAATTGCGTCGTGGTGGTCTTTTTCTCACAGACGATGCTCAACTAAGCCTACTATACCGTGCAGTCGATATATATATATATATATATATATAGATAGATAGATAGATAGATAGATAGATAGATAATATTAGTGGTAAATATACACATACGTATCCAAAATATATAAATATATATACATAGGTGCATACACATACATGTATATTTTTTTAATAAAAATTTCAAGAGGATAGAATCCAGGTAGAACTCAATGTCCAGGACAGAGTAAAGATATAATAAAAAGGCTTAAACACTAATATTCCATGGTCATAATTTATTCCACTAATCGTAAATACGATCCAATTCATCAGACCTACAAATTCAAAAAAAAAAAAAGAAAAAAAACAACTCCGGAAATAAAATAGAATTTATAGAGAGTGTATATATATATATATATATATATATATATATATATATATAATTTATATATATATATATATATATATATATATATATATATATATGTCCAGAAAGTTACATATATGTGTGTGTATATGTGTGTGTGTATGTGTGTGTGAATAATAAGCTTTATTGCAACATCCACAAAAAACATCCGCTTTCACGCAATCTCCAGGTAGATTGCAACTGTTTTATACGAAAATGGCCAGTGTATACGCCCGGGGCCAGTTCAAGGTGTGACAACGAGTATAGGTGATGTGCACGCGCTATGCATACACCAACAAATCTCACTGATGAGGTTAATGCCATTAAGAACTTGATGGAAATGCCGAGAAAATCACCACTGGGTGTTTCGCGAGGGGCAAGAAAACACCAGAAAAAATCGAAATGGCTAGAAAGTGCTCGATAACATGTGAAACACTTAGGCCCCAACTAATGGAAATAACGCTAAAAAGCAAAAATAGTGCTGATCATTCCAATATATATATATATATATATATATATATATATATATATATATATATATATATATATATATGCCAGGTGTAACAGCAGAATTGTCCAAATCATGTAACAGGATAATTGTCCATTCCACAAAATGTTTCATATCTAAAAAAAAATCACTAATTGTGTTTCTTTTTCCAGGCTTTCCAGATAAGACGTTTAACTATCATACCGCCACTTGTTGGAAGAATCCATGAAAACTCTTTCAGTTATTCAGCTAGAAAGAGAACAGGTTAAAATCGTTTTATGTCAGAACCACTGTCTTCCGAAATGAGCAATGGTGAGAGGAAAATGTTAATTTAAGCCGTCAGTAATGGTACCAAGATTCATATTCTGGCTTCCATCTTCAAAGACTATTCAAGAGAACGGTGAATAAGTTTAAAAAAGTGTAGAGAGGAAAACTGGATCAGCAGGCCACAACAGGAAGAATGATTTAAACTTAGAGCTAAACAGATCTATTAGAAAAAATCCAGCTCAATCCATAAGTCGTTTGTCACTTGAGAGAGGAGTTTCAGTTACGACTGTCCAAATAGCACTAAAAAGTTGAAAATGAAACGTGCGAGGCACCTTTTTACTCTAAGACAGAAACTTAGAAAGTTAGACAGAGCAAAGATCATCTTGAAAACATCCTGGAATAATATATATATAAATTTGAAGATTATTTCAATCCTTTATGATATTCCGATCCTAAGCTATGATTAATTAATGATGACCATATCATTTTCGTTTATGATCGATTTCATCACGATTCTTCTTTTAAGCTTGGAGAGTAATTATTCATTCTTCTAGCTTAAATTAAATGACGTGTGATGATACCTTGATCGTCCCTGTAGTCCAATAGTGTTATCAAAATCTCGGGGAATTCCACTAAGATACCTTTAATCACTTGTAAGTTGCAACAGTTCAAAGTTTAATCTGACAATTGGACAATTTTGGTGTTACAATATTTGGACAATTTTGGTGTTACAATATTTGGACAATTTTGGTGTTACAATATTTCGACAATTTTGGTGTTACACCACGTATACATATATATATATATATATATATATATATATATATATATATGTCAGGTGTATCAAAAATACTTTTACAAAATTTGTGGGTGGGTTACTCACACCAAGTATAAAAGCCCACATAAAGATGTTCAAAAGGTCATCGTTGTATCTCAACACAGCAACTCATAACATACGTTCAAAATGTCCTTCGCATGCACCCATTGGATCATTGACTGGTGGACCCTTTCAGATACTCCCACATGGTTTCGATTGGTTTCGCAGACCGAAAGTGTCTCTACAGTACAGATGTCTGCTAATTACTCTATGTGGCCCCACATATAAAAATACGAAAAATTGATGTCGGAGAAACGTGAAGGCCATGGTACTGTTGTTTCCTTACCTATCCATCTTTCATAGTAGAAGTCAACTAGTGCATCGCGAATATGCCCAAAATGTGCTGAAGCCCCATCTTGTATGAACCACATGCGTCTTCGTTTTAACAGGGGTACATCCGCTAGCAGGTCTGGAAGTGTTTTCGAAATAAAGTCCCTGTAGAAAGCTCCTGGAAGAGGTACTGGGAGATTCCAGCCCACACATTAATGGTAAACTGATGCTGATGTCTAGCCTATATTGTGCCATGGTCAGGCCGATCTGCTAAAAAAAATGAAATGTTGCTTCATCCGTAAACAAATCAACGGCAAAAGTTCTCCCGCGGTGAGTGATCAGAGGGTGAAAGACCCGGCATATGTTGCAAATGCTACGGATACAGGGGTTGCTCTTCAAGTACCCTCCATGTAGTACAAGGGCCACTTGACGTGTGATGATACCTGGATCGTCCCTGTAGAATGTGTTCTTCATGGTTTGTGGTGTCACAGATTCTGTCGCAGCAATTTTGTACACCAGACACAAACAGACGCACACACATACACACACATATATATATATATATATATATATATATATATATATATATATATATATATATATATGAAAAAATATACGGAAAAAACAAACAAAAATCCTAATATGCAATTATGCTGTTTTGATGTTAATATAATGTCAACGTCGGACGTTTCGGTCTAGTAGATCATCTTCAGGACATATTCATAAAACATAATTAACATTAGACTATATTTAATTCAACATGAAAAGACTATGGAAATATTTTCGTATAAGCTTGAAGTCTTCCATGTTATAAAGTAAATTCAGGTTTGTATTTCCAGTAGACAGTATGTAAGCAAATATATGGATATAGATCCGACAGTATGAAGAAAAATATAGGGAAAAAAACAAACAAAATAGTCTTTTTGTGTGTATGTAAATGTTTTTTCTATCTATCTATCTATCTATCTATCTATCTATCTATCTATCTATCTCAATCATTTCATATGTATGTAAATACTTTATCTATCTATCAATCAATCTATCTATCTGTCTGAGTCTTTTTGTGTGTATGTAAATGTTTTTTTCTATCTATCTATCTATCTATCTATCTATCTATCTATCTCAATCATTTAATATGTATATAAATAATCTATCTATCTATCTATCTATCTATCTATCTATCTATCTATCTGAATCTTTTTGTGTGTATGTAAATGTATTTTCTTTCTATCTATCTATCTATCTATCTATCGATCTATCTATCTATCTATCTATCTATCTATCTATCTATCTATCTATCTATCTATCTATCTATCTCCGTATTCTCTCGTCTATCTATCTATCTATCTATCTATCTATCTATCTATCTATCTATCTATCTATGTGAATGGATGTTGCTGCGTATTTCTATTCTAACCGCCTCTCTAACAAAGTTGCACAGTTTTTTAATGTTGTTGCTGGCCTTTTCCTCCATTGTAATTACCAATTAGATGTAAAGTTGCCGATTTATGCAAAGCTATTATTACTATAAAACAACAAAATTTACTAAACATTCTGTGCAACAGTTGGAATCTTCTCTCTTCTCTCTTCGCCTCTTATTTTTCTCTGGACACGAGGAATACAATTAAAACTTATTCTTTCTAATCAAACAAACTGGACAGAATTCAATTTTCAAACCAATACCAATCCGTGAGCAGTTCCCGACAGTCAGCCGCTTCAACGCGACATTAGTCACACGGTTTAAGAAGGAAGCATTAATTGTAAACTACCACGCGGACAAAAACACCAATGTTCCGAGCGAATTCAACTCGAACCAGATATAGTCTGTTTTCGCTTGATTAGCGGCTTGTAGAATTGGAGATTAGAAATAAGACATTTGCTGTTATCTTTAGAGTAGACAACAGGAATTGGTCGAGAAATAATGCTTCTAATAATAGCAATGGTGTTTAGCGTTTTTTTGTTTTTTTTACTTTGGCGAACCGCCTTTATTGTGTCGATAATGAGTTATTTCAATGGGAAGGCGGTTTAAGCGTAATGGTAAAAAGGCGGAAATTTGTTCCATTTGAATATTGTGATTTGCTAAAAATGCCAGTTTTCTGATGATACCTAATTAAGAGTGGAGTCGTCGTTATCTTTGAGAATGTAATATCTGTAGTTTCTTTCTTTGTACTTAAGATTCTTCTGTTTCTTTTTGATTAAACCTCAACTCCTCAAATCCACAGGCATGAACCAAAAAATCCCTGTCGTTTTCGATTATAATCTCTAAGGTTATGGGATGTTGCTTATAGAACTTCTCAATGTGGGAAGAACCCAGCTGAAATTCCTGGCAGGTATTGATTGAATGGTTTCTTTTTTTACGGCTTATCAACGTTTTTTTGAGTTTATTTAAATCCGACTCCTGTTGTTGGATCGTAAACCTTTTTTTTTTTTTTTTGGTGATGCTAATGTCTTTCAGATCTTACTATTTAATACATACCTGGAAGTAGAACCTTACCCAAAGTTATTTGCGCCTAGTTAAATATAACGTACCCGACTGGAATTTGAGCTCGGTCTCTAAATTCTCATTTCATGCCTTTATCCATTACACCGCCCGCACATCCAAGCTTACTGCAATAGTTATTCCCTAATAAATACTGACCAGGATCAACGTTGCTTAACTTCGGTGTTCGAACGAGATTTGGCCGTGAGCATGACATGGAGATAAATGCCCCCACCCCCGCCTCAAAAAATCTCATGACGAACAACTAAGTGCAAATTTGGCGATCGAAGAACTTAGAATAAAAAGCCAATTGAAATACTTTCGACCAATTACCAGAGAAGAGATTTGACTAAGGAACTGATTTTCTGTTTACAGTTGAGCAAACATTTTCAGGTTAGTTAAAGCCAGAAAATATTTTCGATCGTGCAGAATTTGGAGGGAGATAATAATACTCAGAGAGCCGAGTTCGAATTCCAGTCGAATCCATTACATTCACTTATGTGCTAATACCATTGGGAAAGGTATGAATACTCTTCTTCTCCCAAAGCTATGGGGGAAACAGCAGGACAGACCGAGTTCTACAGCCTTGGATGTCAACTGGTCTACCGCAGAAAGAAATGGCAACCTACTGCGGCAGAAATCTGACTCGACAGTCGTGTATCGAAAGATAGATGATCGCCTACGAGTGTATCACGCATAACATAAAAGAAAAGAAAAATGGCGAGTGAAATTGGATCAATACATTTCCCAAGGGTATATGTATGTAAGTGGATATAACGAAATTGGGTGGGATTAGAACACGTTTCTCTGAGTTTCAATTCCGTGCCGTTATACATTACGCCAGTCGCACCTGCTATTCTCAAGCGGTCACGTGATTTTGCCCATTTAGGTACTGACCAGGCTCGACTTTGCTTAACTTGATTGTACGAAAACCGGTTTTTCAACGTGATATGGCCTCAAGCTTTGAAGAGAGCTCCAGAATAAATATAATTTCAACAGCGGTAAAAGCAATCACAAAAATATATGGAAAGACAAGAACATCTGCCTGAAATCAAAAATCAAACAATGGCGTGTCTTCTTTTTGTAGGTCTATGCATCTTAGACATTAACTTCCGAAGTACAACGAAAACTCGAAGCATTAAAAATAAGATGCAACCGAATCATCCTGGTCACCTCCTACGTAGTCTGTATCTCAAATGATGCAGTGTGAAGTCACAATCAAATAAGACGCCAAACGGAAGATCTCATAACTGTCATACCTGAACGTACCTACTCTATTATTAATAGACTCTCCCACACATAATAAGTAGTAGTAGGGCTTAGTGGAGTTGAGTGAGTCAGTCGATGTCGGACATTGAAGTATCAACCATCACAACTAGATTGCTGCGTCGTTAACTCTTATTTCAAGTTCCTAACGTTTTGTACGTCGAACCTAATTTAGAACGACTTATTGAAATACAAGCCTCCACTGTGAAAACTACTCTACAACAATAACCACCGTCGATGTTTCGATATTTGTTTGTTTATCGGCATATCAACATTTTATGGGTCATTTAATGCCGAAATTTAATTGGGAGCATTAGTAATTCCTTTTACTAAAATGTATAACTTGTAATTGTTTTTCAGTTTCTTTACAAAAATGAATTGCTTGTAAGTTTTTTTTTTCATTTTATATAAAACAGAAACCGTAACAAAGGCTCGCTAAGTAAACTTGCTGTATAAACTACGGGTGGATTCTGTAGGTGTTAAACAAACAAATGTGCTTGAGCAGGCGTTCGGAATAGGGACTGGCTAGGTACTCTAGCAGAAAGACATAGTCAGATAGAATTATCCAGTCATTATTTACTATAACGTTGATCTATCTATCTATCTATCTATCTATCTATCTATCTATCTATCTAGCAAGCTAGCAAATAGCTGTTTCAATTAGTTTTTATCTGTGGCAATCCGTATCTATCTATCTATCTATCTATCTATCTATCTATCTATCTATCTATCTATCTATCTAATTCAGCCTGTCCATATCTATCTATCTATCTATCTATCTATCTATCTATCTATCTATCTATCTATCTATCTATCGCAGCCTGTTCATATCTATCTATTTCAGACTGTCCATTATCTATCTATCTATCTATCTATCTATCTATCTATCTATCTATCTATTCATCTATCTATCAAGCTAGCTGTTTCAATTTGTTTTTATCTGTGGCAATCCGTTTCTATCTATCTATCTATCTATCTATCTATCTATCTATCTATCTATCTATCTATCTATCTATCTATCTATTTCAGCCTGTTCATATCTTTCTATTTCAGCCTGTTCGTATCTATCTATTTCAGACTGTCCATATCTATCTATCTATCTATCTATCTATCTATCTATCTATCTATCTATCTATCTATCTATCTATCTACATAAGTACGTGTGTGTGCGCGTATGAATCTAATTTGTGAAAATAGCTTACTCAGCATAAGAAATCAGCGTATCCTAATAATTTGCTGTAGGCTCAAGTTTACGTGTGCGATTGTGTGCATTTGTGTGTGATTGTGTGTCTGTGATGAGAGAGAGAGAGAGAGAGAGAGAGAGAGAGAGCTTTAGAAACTGGAAGCAAGGTTAAAGAGAGAAGAGACACGTGAAATGTTATAGGATAAATGAAAGAGTGAAAGAGAAAGAAAAAAAATTCTATCATCATATATAATCAAGCATCAATAAAAATGCACGAAATATGCACGTTTTTTTTTTCTTTCAACAGCTATTGAAAGAATAGAGATAATTTCTGACCGATGCTGTCGTGGTAAAGGCAACATCTGCTTCGCGTCCAAGAATGATAACTCTCTATAAAGTCTCGTGACTTTTTGTTATAGTACGCCTTCAGTAGCGAAAGGTGGCGCCACAAATCTGCCTTTCGCTTTGTTACGTAATCCGGTTTTCAACACTTACTCATTTGCTTATTCAACCTATTTGCATTCTTATCGGCCATTCTTCACTTATCATTGCTTTTTTTTCTTTTTAAATAAAATTCGTTATTTGCTTTTTTTATTCTATTACATATTTTATTTATAGTTTTTTTTTATTCTTATCTTTATCTTTATATCTTTATTTTCCTCCTTTTCATTTGTTCGATCTTGTATTTTACCGCGTTTTTAGCGAATATTTTATTGGCTTTTCTCTTTTTCTCTCTTCGCCACTTCACTTCTTTCATTTCTACCTTCCTTCTTTCTTTTCATCTTTCTTTCGCGATTTTCTTTCTTTTATTCCCTTCTTTCTTTTATTCTTCATTCGTTCATTCGTTCGTTATTACTTTTTTTCTTCTTTGTTTATTCTGTATTTATTTATTGCTTCTTTATTCATTTTTATTTCTTTCTTTTTCCTTTATTCGTTTTTATTTTCATCCTTTTAATATGTTCAATCTTTCATTTTCCCTGGTTTTTCTTTTACCCAGATATTTTATTTACTTTTCTATTCAATTTCCTTCCATCCTTCCTTCCTACCTCCCATCCTTCCTTCCTTCCTTCCTTCCGTCATTCCTTCATTCCTTTTGCCTGCCTTCCTTCATTCATCCATCTTCCTTCCTTCCTTCCTTCCTCCCGTCATTCCTTCCTTCCTTTTGCATGCCTTCCTTCCTTCATCCTTCCTTCCTTCCTTCCTTCCTTCCTTCCTTCCTTCCTTCCTTCCTTCCTTCATTCCTTCATTCCTTTTGCCTTCCTTCCTTTTCATCCATCTTCCTTCCTTCATTCCATCCTTCCTTCCTTCCCTTCCTTCCTTCCTCCTTCCTTCCTTCCTTTTGCCTACCTTCCTTCCTAGATCCTTCCTTCCTTTTTGCCTACCTTCCTTCCATCCATCCTTTCTTTCTTTCTTTCTTTCTTTCTTTCTTTCTTTCTTTCTTTCTTTCTTTCCTTCTTCCTACCTTTTGCCCCCTTTCCTTCCTTCCTTCCTTCCTTCCTTCCTTCCTTCCTTCCTTCCTTCCTTCCTTCCTTTTGCTTCCTTCCTTCCTTCCTTCATCCATTTTTCCTTCCTGCCTTCCTTCCTTCCTTCCTTCCTTCCTTTTGTCTTCCTTCCTTCCTCCCGTCATTCCTTTTGCCTTTGCCTGCCTTCCTTCCTTCCTTCCTTTTTGTCTTCCTTCCTTCCTTCCTTCCTTCCTTCCTTCCGTCATTCCTTCCTTCCTTTTGCCTGCCTTCCTTCCTTACTTCCTTCCTTTTGCCTGCCTTCCTTCCTTCATCCATCTTTCCTTCCTTCCTTCCTTCCTTCCGTCATTCCTTCCTTCCTTTTGCCGGCCTTCCTTCCTTCCTTCCGTGATTCCTTCCTTCCTTTTTCCTGCCTTTTCCTTCCATCCATCCTTCCTTCCTTTCTTTTCTTTTCTTCCTTCCATCCCTCCTTTCCTTCCTTCCTTCTTCCTTCCTTCCTTTTTTTGCCTCCCTTCCTTCCTTCATCCATCTTTCCTTCCTTCCTTCCTTCCTTCCTTCCTTCCTTCCTTCCTTCCTTCCTTCCGTCCTTCCTTCCTTCCTTTTGCCTGCCTTCCTTCCTTCCTTTTGCCTTCCTTCCGTCCTTCCTTCCTTCCTTTTGCCTTCCTTCCTTCCTTCCTTCCTTCCTTCCTTCCTTCCTTCCTTCCTTCCTTCCGTCATTCCTTCCTTCCTTTTGCCTGCCTTCCTTCCTTCATTCCTTCCTTTTTCCTGCCTTCCTTCCTTCATCCATCTTTCCTTCCTTCCTTCCTTCCTTCCTTCCTTCCTTTCTTCCTTCCGTCATTCCTTCCTTCCTTTTGCCGGCCTTCCTTCCTTCCTTCCGTGATTTCTTCCTTCCTTCCTTTTGCCTGCCTTCCTTCCTTCCTTCATCCATCTTTCCTTCCTTCCTTCCTTCCTTCCTTCCTTTTGCCTGCCTTTCTTCCATCCATCCTTCCTTTCTTTCTTTCTTTCTTCCTTCCTTCCTACCTTTTGCCTCCTTTCCTTCCTTCCTTCCTTCCTTCCTTTTTTTGCCTGCCTTCCTTCCTTCATCTATCTTTCCTTCCTTCCTTCCTTCCTTCCGTCCTTCCTTCTTTCCTTCCTTCCCTCCTTCCTTCCGTCCTTCCTTCCTTCCTTTTGCCTGCCTTCCTTCCTTTTTTCCTGCCTTCCTTCCTTCCTTCCTTCCTTCCTTCCTTTTGCCTTCCTTCCTTCCTTCCTTCCTTCCGGCCTTCCTTCCTTCCTTCCGTGATTCCTTCCTTCCGTGATTCCTTCCTTCCTTTTGCCTGCCTTCCTTCCTTCCTTCATCCATCTTTCCTTCCTTCCTTCCTTCCTTTTGCCTACCTTCCTTCCTTCCTTCCTTCCTTCCTTTTGCATGCCTTCCTTCCTTCATACTTCCTCCTTCCTTCCTTCCTTCCTTCCTTCCTTTTGCCTGCCTTTCTTCCATCCATCCATTTCTTTCTTTCTTCCTTCCTTCCTTCCTTCCTTCCTTTTGCCTGCCTTCCTTCCTTCATCCATCTTTCCTTCCTTCCTTCCTTTTTCCTTCCTTCATTCCTTCCTCCCTTTTGATGCCTTCCTTCCTTCCTTCCTTCCTTTTGCTTGCCTTCCTTCCTTCATCCATCTTTCCTTCCTTCTTTCCTTCCTTCCTTCCGTCATTCCTTCCTTCCTTTGCCTTCCTTCCTTCCTTCCTTCCTTCCTTCCTCCTTCCTTCCTTCCTTCCTTCCTTATTTCCTTCCTTCATTCCGTCCGTCATTCCTTCCTTCCTTTTGCCTTCCTTCATCCATCTTTCCTTCCTTCCTTCCTTCCTTCCTTCCTTTTGCCTGCCTTCCTACCTTCATCCATCCTTCCTTCCTTCCTTCCTTTTGCCTACCTTCCTTCCTTTTGCCTTCCTTCCTTCCTTCATCCTTCCTTCATTCTTCCTTCCTTCCTCCCTTTAGCCCTTTCCTTCCTTCCTTCCTTCCTTCCTTCTTCCTTCCTTTTGCCCTTCCTTCCTTCCTTCATCCATCTTTCCTTCCTTCCTTCCTTTTGCCTTCCTTCCTTCCTTCCATTCCCATCTTTCCTTCCTTCCTTCCTTCCTTTTGCCTACCTTCCTTCCTTCATCCTTCCTTCCTTCCTTCCTTTCTTTTGCCCTTCCTTCCTTCATACTTCCTTCCTTCCCTTCCTTCCTTCCTTCCTTCCTTCCTTCCGTCATTCCTTCCTTCCTTTTGCCTGCCTTCTTTCTTTCCTTCATCCATCTTTCCTTCCTTCATCCATCTTTCCTTCCTTCCTTCTTTCTTTTTTTTTTTTTCCTTCCTTCATCCTTCCTTCCTTCCCTTCTTTTGCATGCTTTCCTTCCTTCCTTCCTTCCTTTTGCCTGCCTTTCTTCCATCCATCCTTCCTTTCTTTCTTTCTTTCTTTCTTTCTTTCTTTCTTCCTTCCCTTCCTTCCTTCCGTCGTTTCTTCCTTCCTTCCTTCCTTTTGCCTGCCTTCCTTCCTTCATCCATCTTTCCTTCCTTCCTTCCTTCCTTCCTTCCTTCCTTCCTTCATTCCTTTTGCCTGCTTTCCTTCCATCTTTACTTCTTGCCTTCCTTTTGCCTGCCTTCCTTCCTTCATCTTTCCTTCTTTCCTTCCTTCCTTCCTCACTCCTTCCCTCCCTTCCTTCCTTTTGCCTCCCTTTCTTCCATCCATCCTTCCTTTCTTTCTTTCTTTCTTTCTTTCTTTTGCCTGCCTTTCTTCCATCCATCCTTCCTTTCTTTCTTTCTTTCTTCCTTTTACCTGCCTTTCTTCCATCCATCCTCATTTCCTTCCCTCCTTCCTTCCTTCCATCCATCCTCCTTTCCTTCCCTCCTTCCTTCCCTCCTCCCTCCCTCCCTTCCTTCCTTCCTTTTTGCCTGCCTTTATTCCATCCTTCTTTCATAACACCCTTCGTTTATTCCTGTTTTTCTTCCTTCAATCGTCCTTCTGTTCATTCCCTCTTACTTTTCCCCTTTACGCCTTTTCATTAGCTTTCTCTCTTTCTTATAACAATTTCCGTTTTTTAATTTGATTTAAATTATTATTTCCATCATTTTTTTCCATTACTTCCGAACATCCAAGGATCATATACGAGGAGAGGGAGTAACAATGACCTTCAAACATTGCATATTATGCATAAATAAGCATCTCAATACAAAGGGATATTAATGAAACATTGAGATAAAATCAAAACGAATTATGTATTCAGTATGGATTCAATTATTTTCAATTACGTCTTCAGCGCAACGTTTATCTACAAAGTTTTTGGACATCTTGACCCACACTTTCTTGATTGCAACATTGAAGATATTGAGGTCGAAGTTGAAGATCTTGTACCGTCTAAACCAAAAACGCCCCTCTCCGTGTATTCTTGCGGGTTCCGCTTCGGGTTTGAGAAGCTCCAAACACTCGCTGGACAAAAATCCTCGAAGTTACCTTAACAAAATGTCTTCACTTTTCAAGATAGATAGCCTGGATCAATGGTAAAATATGCTATTTCAGAACATTGTAGTAGACATGGTGGGTTGATTTTTGTTTAGTGGCTCTTATATAGGAATAAAGTGTCGCTGCCGACACTTGAGTTTGAACATAGATCGCCAATGAGCAAACACAAGCGATCCCATTATTGAATTAAGTAGACCACGAGAACATAGAGGAAACACATACATGGGAGGTAGCCCGTGTCTAATTGATCGCTATTTCTATTCTATCCTCTATTACTATACGGACGGCAATTCTCTATGCTATTCACTATATTATTTCTCTACTCGGATTACTATTCGAGCGAATATTATCGAGCAAGTACTATTAGTGCGAGAATATTCGAAGGCGTCTGACACCAGTATTGTTCAACGGCGTTAATATAGTTGTATCTGCGATTACAAAGTCTCTACTACAACGAGCATTACGAAAGTGACAACGGGTATTACTTGGTATCACTAAATTGGAACGAGTGTTCGTTGACATCGCAAAAATGGCATATCAATGTCCACGGGTTATTTTGAATACATTTTTATGTCTTCAACTAAATATATACTATGAATAGGTATTGTTGGTAAGTTTCATATAAATATGTATTGTTGTTATTTTTATATAGAAATGTATTTTTATACGTTCATAATGTTTTATCTTTCTTTAGAGGTTCTCTATTTTCCCATAGCTGGGACCCAACAGGTGCTACCATCCTGAGAGTAGACCTTGGAACAGTAGCAATTAAGAGGTGGTTCCACGCTTATCAAAAACCTCCAATCCCATGACGAGCGGCCTTCCTGCCGGATGTTGTTTATCGTCAAAACCCAGGATTCTGTAGTAGACATCACCTCCCGTATTTCTTCTGTGCTGAATGGGACATTTCTTTTCTTGTCAGGGGGCATACTATTTTTACCCAGTACAAAGCTACACTAGTCAGACGTTGTTATGGTGTAGAACCATAGATAGATAACATGGACTCGGATATAAAGTTAAAATTCTCGGAAACGTAGTACAAAGGTAAATGTGGACTGGAGAGTACTTTCTCTCATTGGTGTCCTGACTCACTCACTCACTCACTCACTCACTCACTCACTCAGTGTCTCTATCGGTGACTCTCACTTGGTGACTCTCTTTCCTCAGAGTTGGTAGCCATATTATATAGGTGTGGAAGAGTCCATTTGTAGGTAGGTCCCCACAATAGACGGTTACTAAAAAAGAAGTAGTTTTAAGTCTACAAGAAGAGCGGATGAAGTTATTATTCAAATCAAATAAACCTCAATAACTCAAAAAGTTCTGAACCAACATTTGTCAAATTTAAACTTATCAATTTCCACAATTGGTAAAATTTTTAACTAAATCTTCTGCCATTTTTAATTGTTACTTTTTGAGGTATTTCAGATTTACGAAAATGCAGTGACTGAATTTAATATGCAGATTAATCTAATATTAGCTTAAGACTTCTGGAAAAATAATTTATCAAATTATAATATTTATCACAACGTTTCGGCCGTTGTACGCTCCGGCATTCTTCAGGTGGTTGGAATGTCGAACTGAGGCCTATATTTCGCTCACTGGAGTAGACTGTTCTAGTTCTACGTGCCATGTCTAATGGATGTCAGTTATCAGTTATCAACCACCTTAACCAGGTATTGAACTCAATTGAGTTCAATGCCTGGTTAAGGTGGTGGCGAACTTAGAGAGGGGAATTAACAGGAGATAACTGATAACTGACATCCATCAAACATGGCACGTGGAACTAGAACAGTCTACCCCAGTGTGTGAAATAAAGGGTTCAGTTCGACATTCCCACAACCTGAAGAAGGCTACAAACGGCCAAAACGTTGTGATAAATAGAGCAACAAAAATGAAGATGATAGTCCGAACAATGTAAATAAGTGTACATAATACCTCATCTCAGAAATATAGACAGATATTTTTTTAATATATGTTGAAACATGGGTAAAAGGAATGCTGAAAATAAAATAAAAATAACAAAACTATTGAATAAGGGAATGTCGACGTTGGAGATGTCAAAGGAAATTTTGCAGAGATCTTTGAACGATAAAGAAAGCTTTTGAAAATAAAAGAAGGTTAAGAACATGAGGCAAAGGAAGAGGTTTTAAGAACTGGCTTCCTTGAGGTGAACGCAAACTAAATCGAATTATAGCGAAATAAGCACTTTTTACCAGCACTCAGATCTCTGAAACGGTTAGAATTTAGGAAGCCAAGAAAGAAAAAAAGATGTACAATACCTTGTGAATTGGGATCTCCGAGGCAATCTCCTCTCACATAAGCAAATATTTTAAAGCGTCAAAATTGAGCAAAAATACATTAAAAAAATCACTTTTCTGAAGTAATTTTCACGGATGAACCTCGAGTGACATTCAATGGACTTGATGGATGGGCCAAAGAAAGGATTTTATCCAAATCAGACGTGCGTGTGGCTAAAAGAAGGAAACAAGGATGCTTTAGTGTTAGTGTTATGCTTTAGTGTTATGATATGGGGTGGATTTGCTGGCCAAGATATTATTGGACCATTCACAGTCGATGAAGGAGTTAAACTGAACAGTGCTAATATTGCAATTTTTTGCTGTTATCATTGCATGTCTTTACCAGAGTTCATATTGCAACTTTGTTATCATTGCTTTTCTCTGGCACTTTTAAACTGGTTCCCATATTGTATTTATTTTATGCTTGGTCGGCTTCTCATGTATTCTAAGTTTACGAATTTTCCAATGGTGTTCCCTGTCATGATCTCAACATGATCCCACAGGGGCGGTGTGATCTCCCTGAAATATGTGGT